AATTATGGTCCATGAAAAACCAGCACTGCCAAGTAACACTTGGGGATGATAACTGCTTGCATGTACTCTGCAAGGCTCACCTGCAGCAATGGATATGCAAAGGCTTAACTTGTGCAAATTAAAACATGCAGTGCAACCAAGGGAGCAAACCAGCCTATTCTACTTATCAAAAATTTGGGAGGGGAGAAAAGATTTTCTTCAAATTATACAGCTGTGCAGCGCTGAATTAGCTATGTTTGGCTGTGGATTAATAGTAGGATGTTCAACACTGAGGATAACCCCCAGAAAAAGATGAAATTCAGTATTTATTTTACCTGAGAACTGAAGCAAAACTTGGGATAAGCAGCTGAATGCAAGGACAACCTGTTCTAGTAACCTCTGTGAGTACTAAAGACATTAAAAAAATGATTTGTGAGAAATCTGTACTAATTCTCTTTGCAACTCACAGACAATTTCATTGGAACTCTTTCACTATTATTTAACGAAACCAAGAGTCTCTTAAACATGGGCAGAAAAACAAATATGGACTGACCAAAAAGAAAGTTAAACCAGCACTGAATGTCTCAGCTCCACTTATTAACTTCATCACCAAAAGACATGGCTAGGCCTGTGCTGACTCAGAAAATGTGTGAAAAGAGGTTCCTCAGTCGAACATGTCCACAGAACTTCATTAACTCTCCTTCTGATCCCAGAACAGTAGGATCTAAGCCAATATATTCTGCAACAATTTCCTTCCCAGCTAGTGCAGGCAGACTCTGCTATGTGCACTCCAGGATGCTGGTGAATGTGAGTCCGGTGAAAAATTTCTTCATAATAGAGAAATAATGGTAATACTGGACTACATTTTTTTCTTTTTCCTTTAATACCTGCATTTTATGTGACTACAGAGTTTTCAAACAGCTATATCATAACAGTCTGTCGCAAGCGTATTGGGTGTTTCAGTTTGCCAGACCTGTCATAATAAATTAATTACAGGATGTTGCAGAAGTGGCTGAGTTCCAGCAGCATCTTGCACAGTTTAATATAGACCTATTTCCCCATTTCGATGTATTTGTGGTTAGATAAATCCTCAGAAAATTTACAGCTGCTACACACTAGTTTATTATACTCCCTGCCTTTGTAGACGATATAAATGCAACAAAAATTTGAAGTCTGCTCAGAGCATAGATTTTACTGATATTGCTTTACCGGTGTGGAAACATTTTTTCTGCTAAAAATGGCATCTGCAGTTTCTGCTGGTTGTTTGCATTTCAGCATTACACATTTGTAAACTTGCTTGTCACAGCCAAACATAGTAAAAATTAATTTGGCTTGACAAAGTCTTCACAAACAATCAGGTGGACAAAGTTTTATATGAAATGCAGAGCTGACATCTTCATCTATGACTGCAAGAGAGAAAATGTTTTCCTAGCCTTTAAAGTTAGTATACTTACTAAAGTTAGTATAATTGTAGCCCTGATGTTGTGACTCAAAGCCTGTTCCTTGCTGATTTCGCTGGAGTATAGGGGTCCATCTACTCTGAGCAGCTTGCAGGACTGGGATTCTACAGAAACATCCCAGTGCTGGTAAACAAACCTTTCTGAAGAGGTGGGCAGCAAGCAACCTGGATACAACAGATGAACAAAACCACTTGTTAAAACCACTGTGAGCAGAACACATCTACATATAAGAAAGGGATCATGTAACACTGAATGTTTGAAAGAGCAGCTTGATTCTTGAAGTTCCAGTCTCTGCTGCAGCTGTTTTGCACCAGATGAAGAGGCTGGAGAGGACTGAATCAAGGCAGAGGTGCCTATTAAAAGAGACAACAACTATAAAGGTGCCTCCTGAAAACCTGTATCAGAAATCAGGGCATGAAAGCTTCATGTCTCCTTACAGCTCTGCAATTCATAGACTACATGGAACTTTGTAGGCTGTAGCTCAGAGTTAGAACACTAAAGAGCTAAGAGTTGGAGAGGCACAGAATGTTGTTCATAGGTTCTGAGAGTTCATCCAGAAAGTTTCTGTAAATGGCACAAAACAAATGTTTTAAAAAGTGAAGTGGTTAAATATCTGAATTTCTAAAGTCTAAAAAACATGACTGAAGCAACCAAAGCTCTGCTATAACACACCTACATGCTATCTTCTGTTCCTTCTTCTTAAGTTCCAATTTCTAATTGCCACATTTTTGAAAGTCTCCCCCAATCAGCAGCTTTCTTCTCAAGTTGCTTATTTCCCTCTCTCAGACCTCCTCTTGTTTCTATTCCCTACATGCAGCAGTTTTGTTCCTAAAGCATGCATGCTAAAGTCCAAGCAATAAACCCCCTTGAACTAACACAGTATATTTTGACAAGCGCAGGTGTACATCTATAAGTTGTTTGAAATATTCTGTATGGACACTGGACAGAGCGCTAAAGGAAAAAACCTGGAGTAGCAACCTTTACATGAATCTTCCTGGCTTCCCTCCACTAGTCAGAAAATACTTCTATCCCCTCCCAATTTCCACATCCATAAAATAGGTTGCACTGTACACATACTAATTTCATACGTGCTGGAAAAGGATCATTAAAAAACCCCATCACTCTTTGTGTTTACCAAACAAGTGTTTTTGCTCTAGTCTGTTCCCGCCTTAAACGAAGTATTTCCTATTCACCTGAGTAATTAGAGCAGAAGGATGTAGTGAATGAAGTGCCTCATTATCAAGTTTGCATCCACGGTCCCTGCAGAATGACTACCATGCCGGCTATTTTTCATAGCTGTCTGCTTTTGCTTGTAATAGGCCATTGTTAACCCTAAATGATCCTGACATTCAATTCTCCGTCAGACAATTGCGTCCAGCCGGCAGATTTAGTTCACTAGTCAACAGAGACTTTCGGTTGTCATGTTCCTCTGTGTTCTCATTAGCCCTTGTTTGACTGTGATCCATCCCCTACTGCCTTCTGAATTAAGTGATGCTACAAATACACTTATTATGTTTTATGATGTCTGTTCCTTAAATTATTTTAAGGAAAAAACTAAATGCAATTTGATGGCTATTGGGAAACACAGGATAAACACGGCCACACATTTTCTTCTGTGTTGCTGATTTACACACATTTCTTGATATTTCTGCCCTATCATAAAAACATAGTAGCAACTCTATGGTGTAACCACACACACAAAACCTACAAACACCAGAACAATGAAAGACCCACGATGCTGCTATCGCCAGGCAGCCAAAAATATCTAATACTCACACTTTTTAAAGCAACATTTTATCTGGTTTGTTCCAGCAATGAATTCGTGTCAATGAACACCCTCTAAGGAGTCTCACAGAGACTTTTATAACTCTTGCATTTTAATTCACACATCATGGCTCAGGGAGCAATTTTGCAGGACACTCATAATGTTTCATCCAATAAAAAAAGGAAAATTTTCAGTAGGTAGTCGGAATCCTTCTGGAATTCCTTTCTTCCACTGAAATTTATGTCCTCTAAGTACTTAGGCAATATTCAGCAAATGCACATGATATTCACTGTAAAGAGATTTTAGAAAATATGCAGATTGCATTAACACAGAAACAAGAAGCATTATATAAAGTTTTTAAATTAAAAACTTATTTTTAAACCATTACACTAATCTAAAGTGTTTAAAAGTTTTATTCTTTTCTTTGTAAATTTAAAATCCCAACATAAATGTCTGAAGAACAGATTCTACTAATACCAAAAAGCAGTTCTTCTGAAAATGAATGTATCAGCTGTGTTTCTGAACAAAAGGTAAAAACTGTCTTTGCCATTGTGCCACGCTCATAATTTGTTAAAGAGATTTTAGGGTGAAGGCTCTAATTTTAATACTGAGGGATCATAGACTTTTTACAATTTCAGATATTTTTGTTCCTTTTCTGTTAAATGAATGCAGAAAACTAGCACCACAGTGACACTGTGAATAAAGGAAAAGAAATCTCTAACCAACCATGTGGTAGGGAAGAAAAAAAATTATAGAAGCAAAACAAAAGCTACCACAATCGCAAGAAAACATTATGAAAAGTTTATTTTCAACTCCTGTATTTTCATGTTTGGCTCTTATCTGATTCCTTCTGCTTAATTGTTATTTGGAACTGTGCCTTGGAAGACACTACTGCTGCCTCTCCTCTCAATTTGGAAAGTGTGGCAAAGCAGCTCTATTCAGCTTCAGAGCAGTGAACATAATTGGAGCCCTAGTTCGCAAGCATGAAAGGAGGTGCTGTGCCTTTGATTAGAACTACCATCTCTCTGTGGTGTTTATCTGAAGTGTTATTTCTGTCTTCAGTGTCGACAATGGCAAATTAACATTTTACAATGCTTTCCAATGAGCTCCCAGATCTTGGCTACTGCTCAGCTCTCCCTGACGTGGAGCCTGATGTCACGCTCTGCCCTTGTTTTAAACGTGATCCAGGACATTTTAAGAAATATAAGATGTCAAGATTTTTCCCCTTTATAAAATCTCTAAATGCCACATGTCACACAGGATGATGAGCTGAACACACTGCAGGGACATAAGAGGTGGGGAGTCTTGACAGAATGAGGCAGCCTCAGGACTGAGGTAATTTTACACCACCTCTGACTGGGGAAAGAGACATTACCAAGTTTCCAGTACACATATGCAAGCCCCATTTAGGGCAGGGCTCCACGCACATACTCTAGGCAGAGCAAAGTTAGGACTGCTGGCAAATTACAACTACCAGTGGGATGAAAAGAGAGGATTTGCTGCCGTGCTTTACTCGAAAGAAAGAAGTTTACAGATTTTTCTGGCTTCAAAACATGTGCAAGGAAGATATTACAATATACAGCAACTAGTCCTCTGCATCTGGGTGCATTTCACACATCAGTGCCCGGCATTGTTATTTTCACTTCTTTTTTTAATGGAATCAAGTGCCCTGTCTACTAAATAAGGGCTTTCTAATTTTATGTTATTTATTGCTTCAGAGGGGGAGGAGAAAGAATTTCCTAGCAGAGTAAAAATAAACTGGGCATCATCAGCCAGAAAAAAATACCAACACTAACTGATAGAGAGTGTTTTGTTTAATATAAAATATAAATTATTTAACACTGTAGATAATTAGCAAAGTCATTAGGAAAAGTTCACAAAACAATACTCAAGTAAAAAAATAGATTAACGATGCTTACAAGTGAATAAGGACTACAAGTAAAACAAACAGCATAGTTAGATATGAAGTATTTCATTCAGACAAAAGAAAGCATATTTGGCATGAGTGCTGCCAAAGCAGCCAGGAACTCTGACAAAACTGCAATGAATCTTTACCATGTGCAGTACACCTCATTTGAAAAATACAACTGCCTGGAATTTGAAAAACTAATTTATTTTGATAAGAAAAAGTAGTCCTACTGAAGACAGTGTAGTTGCATAGGTAGTTACTCCACAATTCCCTTCAGAGCTGCAAAATGCAGTCCAAACAGATATTTGACGCCAAGAAAATATTTTTTGAAAGCTTGTGTTTTCAGAGGTACACCTTAATGTCAGCACTCCTTTGGTATTTTATCATTATGAACACTCTTCTATTTTACTTACAGCATACTTTAAAATGCTAATTTAATAACTTACCTAGTGGTTGGGCTTGTTTTGCTCTAGATCACACTTTTTTACTTGATTCTTTGCTCCCAATGGATGGATCTACAGCCTAGATAAATGCCTAAACGACGATTTAATCAGATATCAAATTAGGAAACATTGTATTTGACAGTTACAGCTCTTTTCCAGTCCAGTGAGGAGTTGAACCTCCAAGTTCTGTTGATTTCAAGGAACCCAGGGCAAAAGTCATCCAAAACAGGCTTGCACCACTGATAAGTCACAACTGGTACCATTTTGCATATTTAAGTATTTTAATTTCTTTGTTGTTAATCCTAGAAGAGAGATCATAATTGCAGCCTTCAACGTGTGTAATGAACATCACCCCAGTATTCAGAAATAAATTATGCCTCTGCATCATGGCACTCGGGCTCAAAGGCAATATTTGTCCTTCCATTTGTGCTTAAGTTTGAGCCTCTTGCTGCCTTTTTCTTCTTCTTCTTCAATTCCACATCCCCACGGGATGTAGGTTCATTTTCAACACCATTAGTTGTAACTGATGACAGAGGAGTATCGACACTCATTAAGTTGTACTGATTTTCTCTCTCATTCCTTTGTATCCTTTTCTTCTTTTTCTTTGTACCTCTAGAGGAAGGTGGATATAAAAAGAGTAAAAGAAACACAAAGTTAGCCCAAATTTAGAGCTTTTTCCACCTACAGCTGATGTGTTAGAGCAATTGTCTGCCTGTCCTCTTGAGCACAATGCTGAAACAACTACAAAAACTACTGTTCCACAGCAGAACAAAGACAGAAAAACCATGAAGACAAAATATGAGACCACTCCACTAGACTACTTTTTATCATAGCATTGCTTTGAAAAGAACTGCTCATCATCTTCAAAACCAGCTCGTCTTGATCAATAGACAACAGATGAAATTAAAAAATACAAATTACCGGTTTCTTCTCCTCATAAAAGCAATTGCACTTGGTTTTTTTTTTCACTTTCCTAAGCTCAGACACCAAAATACAATTAAGGAGAGATTCCTGGTTTATTTATGCAACAAGAATAAGACAGGCAGTCAAGGTGCATAAGATTAGTTTTTCCATTTTAATTTGCCTGAACAAGGACAGAGTCAGAAATCACTTCAATGTCTATTTATGCTTATCAGCCTTCATACAGTGCCAAAAGGACCAGTTAAGCTCCTGTATCCCAGCTGATACTACTAACTGGTCTTGCATATGATGGCAGGGATTATGCAGATGTTACACCACTTCTTCCATGAATTCCCCCTCTTGGCAGAAGCTGTAACTTTATTTAACTATAAATACATAAAAATACTTTGACTCTAAACTTTTAAGGGAAGGTATTGTCTTTATTAAAAATTTGTATTGTGCCTAGCACAAAAGGGTCTTGGTTTATGACCTGAACTGTTCAATGCTGCCGAAACACATAAGTAAATGGATGAATCAAGACTGAAGAATGTAATGTGTGTCTTTTCCACAAAAATGGTGTTAGAAGTGCTGCACAGTTGATGATACTGTCCTAATGTAATCAGATTTTATAGATGAAAGTGTTTACACATCAGCTTTGCTGATGAACTGATGAATACCTGCCTGTAGTTAGAACTTTTTTTAAAGCTAAACTGCATACATACATACATACATACTGTTACATAGATAACATAAAATGTATGTTATGAATATGTGGATTGCTGCAGCTCTAGTACTGGAACATCCTAAGGAAAAGGTTTGCGAGTCTATGACCCTCTGTGTTAGGATCCCTAGAACAATCAGAGGAGTAGTGCTGCATGAGGAAACTAGGAAAGTCATAGTTATTCAGTGTTATAAGGACCAATGTACCAAACCCAGTGTTCAACTGCGTCTTATGTAAATTTGCAGAGCGCTACCTACTGCAGCTCAAGAAAACCATACAATGGGAACATGCCTAAGGACATATTGGCTGTGCTACAAGTAGCAGCTAATAATATTTGAAGGCTAAGGTTACTATGCTATTTCCAAAAGCTACACTAATTTTGAGAAGCGGTTTTCATCTTCTTATTTTCTGAACATCAGATGTGATGATGTATCAAAACTTAGAGTAACTCAGCGTCATTTCTCTATTTCTTCTAGAGTCTGCAGAAGACATGTCAACTGCTTGGCTAAGATCAAGGTCTACTACCATCTTGTATAAAATTTGTTTTCCTATTGCAAAGCCATATTATCCACCCAGAAATTCTCAAGAAACAGACATTTCATAAGGACTTGCCATTCATATTCTTTTACAGCAGGTATTGTGGCTGTAGTGAACAATACTGTTCTAATAAGCAAACCAGCAATCAGTCATTTGGCTTAGCAAATTGTGCAGGTGTTAAAGTTTCACTTCTCCATACTGAAAGTGTGTATTTGGCAACCACTTGATTCTTAGGAATTATGCAGTAAATAAATTTCGTATCATATACGTCAATGTGACGTGACTATTAAGTGCATTTTCACAGAAAACAAGAAAATAACAGCATGTTTTAGGTGGAGCAACTATTTAAGTACAGATTGGACTGGATCTCCAGTCATGTTGATACTGCTGTTAGATGCTGAAACTCTTCCAGTTAAGTTGGCAACACTTGCATGTATGTAAATTTTTAAGGATATTTCAAGACATTGACTGTGGTGAGCAAGAAAACTAGAGTTCTGGCAGGTCATGTTTTTGGTAACAGTGAAGTGAGAGTTGTCATGAAAAATAGGTAGCCCTGTTTCTGAGCTGGTTTATTATCTGATATGTGCTGTATAAATACCTATAAACAGAAATACTGACAGTTTTTCAAACCAGTGGCATCAGCAGTGTCAGAGGATTCTTTTCTAGCTCAAAATAAGGCAACAGTTTGTAGTCTTTTTTGAAAAAAACCTGGTACATGTGGTCACTGCTATGAAGTCCTATGACATGGAGCATACATGAATTCAGACTGGAATCTCCATGATGCTCCTGCTCCCTGTTCAGGATGAGGGAGCACATTCCAGTGACTCAAGCATGTAAGTGTCTTGTCTCACCTTTCTGAAATGTAACTGAAGTGATTTTTGGGCTCTAATACCTCAGTGTGACATCTTCTCAGGATAGCCCTTAGTTTCCACTAAAATGAATATTTGTATTTGGTATGACTCAAAATTCTTGAATTTTCTTAAATAATTTGTAATTCCACATTTTAAATCTATGGTTCCACATTTTTCAGTAGATGCCCTGGAAAGGTCACTCAAAATAATTGTTTCCTGAAGTCCTACCAATGGAGTTGAGTCATCCCAAATTTTTGATACTGACTTCTAACAGACTTTGTCAACCGTCACAGTAACTGTGCTTTTAGGGCATTTCCTTCCTTAATGTATATACTACTAGAATAGTTGTGTCCAAAATTCAACACTGAATTCTGTCAATGTGTAGTTGTACAGCCCACTCCTCATCATACTTGAGGGTTAAACTTTCCACTCACAATTTATTTTCAAATCTAGATACAGCTGGAGATACCTCATTTTAATCTGCCTTTAAATCTGAATTTTGTATGTATCTGCATAATGTACAGATTATTTATATGAGGAGGGAACCAGTCTGGAAAAATGATCAGTGAAATAACTTTGCTTAGGTGATAGATACAATGGCAAACATGGGAAGTATTTTCAGACATCAATTTTTGAAGCAAAAATAGTTGCAAAAGCTAAAGATATTGTGGAAGCTCCTGTTCAAAATGCTGAGATCTTATCTGCTTACAGCTTTCACGCAACAGAGAGCTACAATTTTTAAGAAATGCAAGTGTCACCATCAAAGGTGCTGCTGGCATCTTCTTAGAATGTGAAAACCTTTTGGAATTTACATTAATTAACTTTTAGAAAGTGTAGAAATAGCTTTCCGTCTGCAGCAATAAATCCTAATACATAGCTAAGGGATGCCAATGAGCAACTACATATCTCTGAGTTCTGATTGCCATGTATATTATAATCCTTGCTCTTCTGGGGATGTGCATATGTATATGAACTGTTATTTCCTTCACATTTTAGGTGTGAAGCACTCTCTCACTGATCACCCTAAAGCTAACTTCTTGTTTTACTTGAAAAAAAATAACCCTTCCAACATTTCTCACAGTTTTCAAACAAGTTGTAGAAATAACACTGCAAATTGTTTTAAGCATTTCTTGCTTACTGTGTTGCAGGTGAGTCTCTATCTGTGTCATGTTTGGAGATAAATTTCAGGTCCGCTGACTTACTGGTGACTGGTGACATCTGAAAAAGAAACAAAAAAAAGCAGGAAGGTAAAAAGACGACAGACAATGGGGCCAACACATGTGCATAGAAAAGCCACTAGCTTCCTGAATAAAGAGAGAATATACCTCGTTTGAAAAAGAATGTCTATCAGCCATAAAATGTTAACTCCTATGTGGTTACAAACAAGGAAACAGTGCCCTGCTATTAAAAAAAAGCTACTTGCAAATAAAAGTTTTCAGGTATGTATAGAAACAAGAGGCTATGAACCTGCTTGAAGACATCTTAAAACACACATTGTTTTAAAAGAATTGTTATTTGTGCTACTACAAGTGAAAAAGTAGAATGCTATAAAACCTTCTTATTGCATAATATTCACAAGAAAAACCTGTCTTTTTAAAGCCTACAGGTTTCATTCAAAAGCAGTTCAAATCACTCCAGGTTATTTTGTAATTCAGGGCCAAAAAGATTCCCCAAATCTGTAAAAGTAAATGCTCTCATTTCCAAAGTAATTAGAGGGTCTCTGTACAACTTGCTTCCTCTACAAACAAACCTAATTCAAACAGGTCTCAAACTTAATGAAAAAATTTCCATAAGGAAATGTGAATGCCCTTCCTGAGTCTTCAGGGACAGGTTATTTTATTAGTTTAATATTATTTTTTCTGCTGACTTAGAATAAACAGGATCAAGCTCTCATTGACTTACTGAATTCATACATTTTCACTGCCCACAACAACCATGTTCAAACATTAGTCATTAGAATTAATCTGCTGCAAAAACACAGATTGCTGGATTACTTTAGACAGAAGTCAGCCTATTAGAATACAATAATGTAGCATTGGCAGGGCTAGGAAGAAAAATCATCTACTTTACACACAAAATCCTTGTTAATACAGTAATAAACTTGAGACTAAGTCAATGGTAAAAGTAAACACAAAAGAAGGAAATATAATACCACTGATATGAAAATACAAGGGAGTGTTGTAAAGGGAATGACTCCAAGTAATTAATACTTCCTTCAGCATTTATAACCTTGTGGTTCCTCGCCATACACAATCATTAATTCATTCTGCTTGCAGTCAAAACAAAATCTTTTTCAGAAAATCCTGTGTGAATGATGTTGAACCATTTTTACCCACCTTTTTGAGTAAATATTACAGAATCTTCTCACTACACTAATATACTATAATAAAAAATGAACCATTCCAAAGAACAGTAGAGTAGAATTCCCTAAAGTGCTACTACAGAATACTGACCTCTTATAAAAAATAGACTAAGATTTTTTAATACTTTCAGATACCTAAACACAGAAAATTATACCTGTTCTACAGTTAGAAGATTAAAGTATCCACTAAATCAAAATCCAGGAAGCTTAACTGAAAGATCCTATGATCTGTTTTAAAAAGAACTCATCACATAGCCTTTCATATGTTAAAGCACAGCTTTTTAGTATGAGTACCAAGGAAAGAAGAGCACAAAACTGGAGACATTTGAATAGCTGTTCATCCCACATGGCAACTCATGACAATTCCTAGGTTTGTGGAGACATACTCCCAACACTCCACAGTGCTGTTTATGACAGTTTTCTTACCTCATTTCTACAAATTTTCAAGCATGTAACAAAGGAGGAACTAGAAACTAGATCTTTTTGAAGCAGATCTCGCTGCCACTACCTCCTTTTGTCTGTCCCATACACCTTTGTGTCCCTCTCAGCCTGCTCCTTGACCTTATTTTCCTGTCCTAATCATGTAACAAGTAGCAGTACTGAAGAAATGAGGGGATCAGTGGCAGATGCAAGGAGGCAGTGCAGGAGCTGGTGACACAAGGGGATGAAGCATCAGGAAGAAGGAGTGGAGGCAGGGAAAACATGCAGGAGATACTTGGCAAAGGAGGTGTGGTAACACCCACTGGGAACTCACTAAGGACATGCCAATGTAAGGAGCAAGCCAGGGAAGGCTGGAGTATAGAGGAGCTGAGGAGGTTGTTCATCTCATCTTTGTCCATTTCTAAACGTCTTGACCACTTGTTATGCATGGGCAGATCTCCCAGGAAGCTCCAAACAGCTCTGCACTGTGCCTCTGTACTAAGGTGCAGTAAAGCTGGTGCTGGAACAGGCATGGTGTGAGCCATGACACTCCTCCAGATCACAGAGCTTAAATATTGAGATATTAATATAGCATTATCAGGGCAGTGTTTGCTTTAAAGACAAACACCCCAACGTTTCAGATACTTATGAATATTTTTCTGTTCACAAGAACAAATGAGACTACAAAAAATGAACTCATTTGTACAGTGCCACTAATAGTGGTCAATTTTGTTGCCATGTTCTAATTCTCTCCTTCCTTGTGAGATACAGCCACCCCAGAAGAAGAGAACATTAGTTCATGTCAACTGTAGAAGCTTGGATTTTCTAAAGGTTTTTTTTTTTGCTTTATGATCATAGAAACAAAAATTTTAATAGCGTACATATTTTCCTTTTCTTGCTTTTTGGCTTGCTTGCTTTACAGCTTTTATTTTGTAATTAACATTCTCTCTTGCTGTCATGTAAGAAGCAACCAAGGCAATATAAATAAAGGCAAAATACACAAAAGCATATCAAGTTCCTGATTCCTGCTGTAGAATCCACAGCAATAAATCAAGCACTAAATCCTTCCTGTGAAACTTGTGGGAGAAATCAGGTATTTCAGAACACTTTCTAAAAGAACCTGAAGCAGAGGGCATCTAAAGGAAATACTAGGGACATAATTTCATCCCAAACCTACGTTTTTAGTGGAGTTCTCTTCTAGGTTGTGCAGAGGTTCTCTGGCAGGCTAGGATGCAGATGGACAGATCTATTCACATGATTCAAGCCATGACAGTAAATGAGTTTGCTCTATAGCCTACAGAGGAACTCTCCCATAGAAGCTGTTTCTACAGAACTTCATCTAATTAAAAACTCATTGGTTCACAGATGGCAAGAATGAACATGTCTATGCCTTTTCAGACTCGTCTTTAGGACACTACACTCAGTACTAAGTCTGCATTTTGTTTTCTATTACGCAGTGCATGGATAAAAGATTCACAGCCATGCATTTAACTACCCAAAACTATGTCAATGCCTGCTGTCAAAACTGTTCTAACAAGTCAGGTTTGGGAGAAATGTGACACCACACCTCACTCATCATTTTCTTCCCTGCTATTCTGCACCCATCCACACATTTCCCCATTAAACAACTAGAAGAGACCTTTACTAGCAAAATTACATATATTTCTTTTGCCATGACTTTGCTATTAAAATACAATTAACTTACAATTGCTTTTTCCCTTCCTTAGTCTTTTTAAAGAACATGCCTATCTAAATCAGGCTGACCATATTGAGGACCTTATATCTAACAGTATTAGCTTAGTTCTGAGACTCTAGCAGAACCATGGCTCTGTATACAAGACAGACATTGGCATGAATTTCTCTCTTTTGCATAAAAGAAAATCTGTTTGGTGAAAACTGTAGTCATGGCTTAACACCAGCAAATAGTGCATCTCAGAAATCAAATCCACTATGTGAGTTTTTGGGGGATAACAAAAGAAGGAGGAGGAAGAGTGGAAACAAGGTACTTCAGATTGAAGCAGTATGTTTTAGAACATCTGTTTTCAGTCTTCATGATTTGGCCTCTGGGAATTCATATGGGATCACAGCTTTGCATTAACATTTGCATAAAAAAAGTTCAATTCTCTTCAGAAAAGGCTATGAGGACCCAAGGAGAAAAATGGGGAAGGGAGAAGTTAGCTTGCTCCCGAGATAATATGTGTCACTCAACAGCATTTTTGGTTCTGCTTGACCAGCTCAGTGGCTCAGCCTGATTCTTTCTATCTTTAAACAGACTGGTCACCTACAGGAAACATCTACGCATGAAATTTCACCTTTTTTTTTTCCCCAACAGGTATTTGCTTATAAACCTTCTCTTTCAATGACTCAAGTAATACTATAGACACAGGTGTAAATATTTTTTGAGAAGAACACATAGATACCAGCTTACAAATAAAGTAACACCACAGGTGCTTAAGAGAGAGCAATTCAACTTGCACATGCAGCTGGCACGCTGGAGGGAAGGGATGCCATCCAGAGAAGTTTGAGAGCTGGGTCTATACAAACCTCATGAAATTCAAAAAAGCAAAGTACAAAGTCTTATACCTGGGTTGTGGAATCCCAAACACACCTACAGGCTGGGCAGAGAAGTGATGGAGTGCAGCCGTGTGGAGAGGGATTTGGGGGTGATGTCTGATGACAAATTCAACATAAGCCAGCCATGTGTGCTCACAGCCCAGAAGGCCAAACAAATTCCAGGCTGTATCCAAACGAGTGTGGCCAGCAGGTCATAGGAGGTGATTCGGCCTCTCTACTCTGCTCTTGTGAGACCCTACTTGGAGTGTTGTACCCAGTTCTGGACGTGGAACTGTTGGAGCAAGTCCACAGGAGAGTCATTAAGTTGATTAGAGAACTGGAGCTCTCTGTGGCTGAGAAAGTTAGGGCTGTTCACCCTGGAGAAGAGCAGGTTGTGTGGAGCCCTCATAACCTTTCAGTATCTGATGGGGGCCTACAGAGAAGCTGGAGAGGGACTTTTTCCTCTATCCTGATTTCAGCCAGGTCAGGGTTAAATTTTGGGCAATAGCTGGGAGGGGCACAGCCAGGACCCAGATGTGATAGGACCTCACATCATTGCCAGGTGTGGGGGAAAAAGGACTCTTGGAGAAGTCAGAAACTTGGTGGGGCGAAGCCACCTGGCACTAATCTATTGTAGTAGGCTCCACAGAGAGCATATTTGGATGTGAATCACTCTTTTGTTATTAACATTGCTGCTGTTACTGTTCATTTTCTTATCTCATTGCTGTTTACAGTAAATTGTTCTTATCGCAACCCACCATCTTCACCTTTTGTGCCTCCAATTCTCAACTACATCCCTGTGCAGTGCAAAGGGGGGAGGAAGCAGGAGCAAGAGTGGTGTGGATTGGGAGAGTGGGGGCACTGAACTGGGGGGTACCATTCC